TGTGGTCGAAAAGATTCAATTATAGATATGAAAAGTTAGAAATATCAATAATAATTCTCGGGGCTAGCAGCAAGCAACAGCAGCAACCAACACGCGAATACGGTTATCATGAAATGTAATCAAAACTTATAACCGACGAACGCGTCCACGATTTATGTGTGAGCGATTTTTCATTTGAGTGCGTATCGCGCAATATTAATATATTAATATTGTAATCGCGCATTATAATAGGCGTGTAGTCGTCGCGAGCTGATTTGGGCATTCACACGTTTTGGTTTCCGGCGAACTTTGTCGGAGCTTTGAGGGGACGAAAAAAAAAAACAACCAGAAAAACGATAAATCTTTTGACACGCGAGTGGGCCGAACAACTGCAGAGAACACATATTGTGCACGCTGCTTATATTATTGTGTTGTGCGATGGTCACGTCGGAGTCGAGAGAGTGAGAGAGAAAAAAAAATACCTCAAACACAACAATAAAACTGTACAGTTGTATATGTACAATAATGTTATGCTTTGCCGGCCATAACTTGACTGTGGGAAGCACGTGTGTGTTGGTCATAACGCGCGAGAGTCGCCGGGCCGCCATTTGGACGAAAACATTTTACCAGCCGTCATTTTTGCACCCCAAACATATATATTATGTTGTACACTCAAATACGTGTATAATATTATGAAATATCTATCAGAGTCTGGTGCGAAACGTGCGAATCCGGCAATGGGCGGAGACGACGACGTTTCGTCGGCCGAACAATAGTTTTTATATTGTTGTTAGCTTACTGCGCTCATTTTATCGTATAATTGTATTATTATTTACGTTACTTTATACATCGCAATATAACATAATATTATCGATTAAATCATATGAAATTCATTTGTTGTCGTTTAACGCCTGTAGAAGAATTTTCACCGGCCCCCAGAAAATATCATCTACTTGTCCCCCCCCTTCCCCCCTCCCCATCAATCGCAGGTTGCAGGCGCTGCTGTTATTGTTGTTGTCATTCCCCGCAGAGCAGTTTCGTAAATAATATGATTATTATCTTTTGAACTGCTCAACTGCGGATGGAGAAATATATACGAGCTTGATCGCGGACTGGCTCGAGTACTACGACGTGTGCAATATATCATTGCATTTCGCCGGAAGTGCCCACGTCATTATTGCGTCCAGGCGATAATAGAAATATGATGTAATATATTATTATTATCGTCGTCGATATCAAACCCGACGATAGAGTAGCAGAAACAGGCAGATCAGCCCTCCCAATCTATACTTAAGTCCGTGTCCATGACGATGACGTTTTACAGGTGATTGTACGCACATTATGACCTACAGGTACACCTTTCTCACAATAATACTCCCAATATAATATTATGTTATGCGGGATTATCGTGAAGTTTCGGTTTTTGTTTACCTAGGACAGTGTCTGAAAAAATAAAAATTGCGTTAAGATAATAATAACAACGGTCACGGTTACCGGGTTACTGGTGCGAAACGGGGTACTATTTATGGGTACCTATGTAGGTATCGGATCTTATAATATAATTATTACTTATATTAGATAATCATCGCAGGCATACTATTAATAGTAGCCACACTGTTGAATCCTGAACGCGCTTGCTCCTAACGTCCCTAAGGAATATTTTCTCAAGTGCAATGCACTTGAATTAAATTATCGTAGAAACGTCGTGTTAATGTCTCTGTCGGTATTATATAGCTAATATATTTAATGTTATTAATCATGCTATAATATTTATTCGTTTATTATTATAGAAATGCACCACGTATCACTATCATTAGCAGTGGTTACTGATACTTATAATATATTTATTTGTTTTATTACAGAACTGGTCACTGTCCAAAATACAGATAACGTTAGCAGTAAAAAATATTAAACTGTACAATAAAAATATACACTAAAATGTGCAGTTATTGGCAATACACATCGTTCTATACATTGGTCGGTTGCGGGAGGCTTAAATGGAATAAATGAAAGATAAGTAAAACCATTTAGACTGAAAAAATAGAGTTTTGAAACTAACTTGGCTAAGTATCTCGGGACAGTCCACTGATCTTTTAATAAGCTTTCCTTTTGAATTTCTGGTATTAAAAAAATTGTCAATCGTCTATAAAATCTAAACCTAGTTTATTCAATACCAGTGTTTAATAATGTTGGGTATGATTAATTTACAAAATAAAAGCCATGAAACCTAAAAACTTTTATCATACCTTACCAATCTGGCTTCTATCACTTTCATCCCAAATAACAACGGCGAACTCCAGAATTGACCTGATAAGTTCACAGTACACATAGCTTACAGTATAATGTTATGCCATCACAGAATCAATAATAGCGAAGCAACAAATATTAATTACGGTATAGTTATAATTAAAGAAAAGTTGTAGCTGGGCATACCCCTTATTTCCTCTCCCCGTAAAAGATTCTCTTATGGAGGAAATATATGGTCTGTGTCCGTAAGTAATATTTTTCTATGTGGTTGCCGTAGAGGATTACACGCACTAGTTTATTAAAGGACGACAAGAGAAAAAAAAATTACTTTAGGGTAGAAAAACCTAAGGGTTGCATATTATTACTCATGGTCTTATATAGACTCTGTGAGCAATATGATCCATCTATATATCTCTGACGAGCGAGCCATATCTATCCATCAAAACTTTCTCGTGGGTCAGTACGTCAACGTGGTATGTCTCCGTTTAAAATATCGTGAATGTCAGCATGTTTATACAAAAACATCTAAATTACATGTCTCGACGGGCGTACAGTACCTAATATTATTTATTATATGATAAATTATAGTTATCAATCTGTCACATGTTATCCACAAAATCACTACACCGCACGTGTATTAGAGGTTTTAAAACCCTTGTCAAATAGCAGTTTTGGCCGTCACATGTTTATGATGTTTGATGCCCTAGCAAATCATTTTTTTTCTTGACTACAATAATAAATGTAAGTTTCAACAGTAGTTTCATAGATTTTAGTTATTTAAAAAAGAATGTACTAATCGAATTGTTGCATATGGATATCTCAAATAACATATCAATCATCGATAAAGGTAGGTAAGAGTTATATTATAATAACGATATTATTTTTGTATCGGGCCAATAACCCACTTGTAGTTAAAATATACTTAGACCCACCGATTTCCATTAATTTGTTTATGAAAACGTTTCAATTTACAACCAATAAAAAAAAAAAACAAAAAAAGCAAAATATGTATAAATTAGTTACTATTATGAATAATTTGTTTGTATTCTAACTAAATTACTATCAATTTTAGTCGAAGTTGAATTTCCAAAGTTTATACATTTTTGTAAAACTTTTTATGAAACTATAGCTTCAAAGAAACATTAATTAGAATTCAGAATTTAAACCCAGCTTTTCGTTAAGTTGTGTAGTACTTTAAAAGAATGTCATTATTAAATTTAGTTTTATAATATTGTATTTTAAAAGCGATTTAAAAATTAAAAATATGCGAATTTGAGAAACAAAGAAAGTATTTATACGAGATATTATATATAGACATTGCTTATAGTATGGTTGTAGATATTTAATTATTTAATTCCTACCTACTGCCTTTAAATAAATATTTAAAGAATCATTTCGGAATTTAGTTTTTACTTAGGTATTAGTTAATAGAATAATAATTCATAATTGACATTTAAAACACAATTAAGACAAAATATTTTACTCATTATTTTTACTATTGTCTTAATCAGCAAGTTAATTATGTATAAATATCAAACAAGAAATTCAATAAATATTTTTCATAGTATTATGACAAACGATGAAGCAATAATCACATTATCAAATAAAAACATAAAATCAAAATATAATTTTGTTTTTTTGAGCTGTGGCCGTTTACAGCTGATGTCTAATAGTAATTATTAATAGATTAATTAATATAAATAAATACTTCAATAATTGATAGTAAAAAATATTGGATTTTTAAGCAATAAATCTAGAATTATACACAAAAAATAGGCCAATGATAATATGTTATTTTAGTTGTAAATTATGTTCACTACTTTCGTAACACGGCGACCTGTTTATGCAATTTTAATACAATAAATAAACCCGTAGCGAATGTATTTTACTCTACTAGGTACTGTATATTGTTATGGGATTTGATAAGTAAATAATTTGACAGTAGCTTAAGTGCAAAAGTTATTTGTTGTGTAATAAGTAATAATTTTATATAAAATAAATCATGGATGTAACTACTATTAAAATATTTAGGTAATAAAATAGATTCCCATAAAATATAATAGTAATATCAAGGGTAAACCGAAATGTAGGTGTTTACTAAACACTTAAACGCTGTTTTGCTGCAATATGATGAAAATAAATATAAATATAACATTTAGCAATGATTGCATTCGACGCCAATTCCTTAAAGCGTATTAATGTATTCGTCACCACAAGAAACCTTTGAACCATATTAAATATTAAACCCACTATTATCCACCTAATGTTTACTCAATGTGTTTTTCAAAAAATAAAATAAACCACATTGCCGTAAAATCAATATGATGTCATCGTCAGTTGTCACATCACAATAATCTAAAATAGGTCAGACGGACTATACACTTTGGGATTCGTGACTTGATAGTTAGTATTAAAATATAGATACACCTTGTGGAAATAACTTAACATTAATAACGGAAAATACGAACAATCGTTGGCCTTATTATATGATACTACACTAATAAATTTCGGAATTACGTCAAAGCGTAAAACCATTTTCCTATAGAAACACCCAACGGAAGTGCATATCGAGAAATTCGAAAGCACAAATTTCGACCTCTCAGTTCAAACGATGCGCAAAAAAAGGCTTTCGATTTGAACTAAAAAAGTGTGGACTCCCGGTAAAAGTGTACCTCGTTTAGAGGACACAACTCACACACACACGCACATGCATAGGCACATGTGCGTCAATATCATATACCGTTCAACACAATATAAACATTCGTTGCTCTTACTCGGAGACTGCGGCGGAGGTCCTCTTGTTTATGTCGCACTGGAACGACGACCCTCTGCCGTTACGCATGTAAAACGAATGAGGGTTCCTAAACGACGGCAGCCAGCCGAGTCGAGCGAGCGCGGCCAAGTGCCTCTTGCCGTAGCTCCCCTGGCCGGTGCTGCCGAACGAATGATACGAGGCGGGTGACCGGGAAGACGTCGAAGCGAATCCTCTGGGCATCCAACCGCTGCGCGACAACGCACCTGCACGCACACACACACACACACACACACGTACACGCACGATCACGACATTGGGAACCAGTCGCCGGCGCACACGACAGTACAAAATATCGAGAATGCACACGGTTGACTGTTTCTATAAACGTTGTGCAGGTCTTGCAAATCAATGTTACGATAGAGATATCTTATTATTATTTAATTAGATATATTATTATCATAATGATGCGCTGTTCAAAAATACCACTACTCCATAGAATGCACATGTAAATACGGCGAAAACGCGACATCACACGCGACACAACAAAAACAAATCTCTACCACACACACACACACACACACACACACACGCACGGCACTATGATAAACGTTATATAGGTAGGTAGGAAGGTAGGTATTAAGAAGAGGAAATATATGAGGCTAATAGAGTATAATAAATTGCGTATGATTATAGGTACACACAAAGACTACAATACACGTAAATCGCAATATTATCACATTGAAATTCAAACTACATATTTATTTTCCGGCAACCATTAACCATAAATCCATGTAGACGGTTACCGCAAAAAAATATAAATAACAAACACAGCACTCAATCATTATAATATACTACATAGAACGTCACAATCATATTTTTACAAAAGGTAAACAGGTAAACATAATATTATACATATACATACCTAATATAATATATTATATATATGATTTATATTAAGTTGGTTTTTTTATTGAGTTATATAAATACATTTATTATATTATTTGATACGTACGAAAAAGCTTGATTCGAAACCATTCCAGTCATTGACTTTGTACACTTTATACTATAAATATAATTTCCTCAATTATCCCCTATTCGGTTACAAAATTCATTGAGTTGTCAATAATTCGCCAACTGTCCATTTTAAAGGAAAAGTAGGTAGGTACGCCGAGATAAAAATAGCGAAATATAAGTATTATTTCATTAATGAGCGAAACGTCGTCCGACAAATCTTAACCTGATTTCCAAGATATTAATCCCGACTAATAACACAGCGGTGTGTTTAATGTTAAGCTTTGTAACTTTATTGCATTTTATCGAAGAGTTTTACGATTTTTTTCCGATTTTATTTTACCTCGTGAAAAATCTAATATAAAAATGTCATTGTTATAAAACAACTTCAATTCGTCTCCTATTATCCGCGTCTAATATAATGTAATATTCCATAAACAAGCGTTATTCCTACTTACCAATAATAATATTCAATTATGAAATCTGGGAATTCATACTCATTTCACATTGTTTATGAACAATATATCAAAAAAAGTTCATACAATCGTATCTATGAAGTACTGAAGTAGGTATATACAAATTCAAAATGTCTATGATACATTATTAATTATTATGCACCAAAAAACACCCTATATCTTAAAAGGTATTTTGTGTGTACATTGTTGTATGAGCAATCGAATATAAGTGTTACCTGTACCTAATGTATACAATGATTAATGCACTGAAAAACATTTGCATCCTTCCTAGTTATTTAAACATTTTTATATTTTGAGGAAATAATAACAATTTGTAATCGATTTATATGAACTTGAATATTTTTCAGGCGGTAGCAATAAATTAGATAAGTACATATAGATAAGTACTATGTACTGTATACCAAATTACCTATACTTATATAGTTTGCTTCAAAAAAAGCAATGTATTAATTATTCATAAAAAATGTAAGAAGAACTAATGATCTATTTTAAAATTGATCATTTAATTAATATTTTCAAGTTTTCAACTTCAAAATAATAAGGTACTTTAAATTAGTGTAAGAGCGTGTAATCTTAACCTAACTCTAAACTGTATGTGTAATTTTAATTCAAGACTATTATTAAATAAAATATACATTTTTAAATATCATATAATACGTTATAACTTCAATAAAGTTATCTATAATTTTGTGAAATACCTATGTATTAGTATTTAGTTCAATATCTTAAACAGCAATCATAGGTCAAAATTAATTTTGTATGCTGGACAAATTTGTACATAGTATATTAATATAGTTTGTATGTTTGAGTTTCTACAATAAAAAACAAAAACTATTAGCTTAAGGTTCATACTAATTATTATTTTAAGTATAATATTATGTGGATTACAAATGGTTACAATTTTATAATTGTAATGTTTGTATGAGTGTAAAATAAGTCAAAAATAGTTGTAAAATATGTTTTAAATCACCTAAGTATTTTTTAGGACTCATTAATATGTATTTTATTTTACCTATATTTTGAAATGGGTAAAATAATAATAAATGTGTTTGATACTAATTACGTTTTTTCATGTCATGATGTAATGGGTTGAAGAAATAATTGTATATGCATTATACACATATTTAGTTAAATAAACGCGTAATAAAATAATAAATAAATATATATTTTGAAAGCATTACAGAATAATTCAATAAAAGTGAAAACATTTTACATTGTTTACGTAAGTATTACATTCGTAATAATAGTGTTTATAAACATTATAAGTGCAATAGATGTACATCGTAACCTCTATAAACTTGTACTATTGAATATAATTGTTGACTTCTATAGTTTATACTCAATGCTAATACACAATATTGTATTGAGATTATACTTTACTCTATGTTACAGACTAATAGACTAGATACGAAAGCACATGCAAATTACGAATACTTAAAACGTCTATTAACAACGAGATGAACTCTGATGATGACCGTTGGATGGCCTGATACTGTTATTACTCGTCACTTATTTATTCTTTGATCTATAGCTAAACAATATTATTATAATTATCTCTAAGGTACTATCTACTTATTTCTTTAGTGCGACTTTATACCTAAGTGTCTGCCATTAGATAGGTAACCATTTTGGCGATCTAAAATTCGTTACCATATGTGTTTGGTAGATAACGAAAGTTTTTCGTACTCAAGCAAAGATAAAAGCATTATCAGAGTTCAATTCATTGTCATACCCGACAGACTGTAAACTAGATTTACTCGAAAACCTCGGGCAAGAGGCTTTCTCATTACTATAGGAATTCACATACTAAGCGTATACTCAATGGGAATCAAACAAATACAATTATGTCGCACAAGTATATTCGTATATCATGGTTCTTGTATGCGTTCATGTGTATTAGATTAAATTCCATTGTTAATGAAAATAAGAAAACTGCATACAAATATACTGAAATATGTGACAAATAAAATACGACCTGGATGTTAGGCAAATGAGTTAAAAAAAAAAAATTTTACTGTTTCATTACGGATTACAACAATGAACAATCAAACAAAAAACCCAGTGGGTTTAGTTTCTAATTTTTTAATTTACATGTTCCCAGTTCTACATTCTTTGGATAACAAAAATTCCTACCATTTTTAGTGTTATTGTCCAATTAATGTCGTCCCCGTATTGATCGCTTTTGTTTGAAATTATTTATTTACGTTTATAAATGTGCAACACATTAATACTACAGACCATAATTTGTTAATTACAATGTCGTCATTGATTCAGATTTAATAAGATATAGATGAACTCACCTAAGTATCTTTTCTGCATCGGTTCTTGTGTCAAGTCATCGATAATGCTCTGCAAGCTTTTGCTACCTTGCATCACAGGTATAAACTCTTCGTTATTTTGAAACGTCGGGTCACCCCTCTTGGGTTTTTGGCCATCTTGTAAGTTCCAGTCTTGGTTTTTCGCAGACGACTCCGTGGTGGGTTGGAATCCGTAAGGCAGTCTCCCCTGTCTCAGCAATGAAGAAATGTACCGCTTGGCGACGTACCTCGGGCTGTTGTACCAAAATGGCATGTTATCAGTCCGAGCTAGCGAAGCCATGAAACGTTTAGCGATATAGTCGTCTGGCGACGAATCTCCATCGGCTGGTTTTACATCGTCTTCTTCACGCATTTCCGGTTGGAAGTAACCAGTCTCGATCAAGAATCGGATGTGGTCTAATGAAACTACACCATGGTTTTCAAATACTTCGTCCGCCATGTTGGTCAAGAACAGCTCTACCTTTTCTGGATCATATGGCGTTCCAAACTTTTCCAAAAATTGGTCCAATATGCTTCGCAAGTCTGATTTAAACTCGTCGCGGAAATCAGGCTCGGTTGCTGCTTGTCTTTTTGACATCCCAGTTAGAGCCAAATTTTTCATCTCCTTCGAAATCCAAACACACATATCAATAATTTAAAATAAATAATAATATTATTATTCCTACACTTAATAAATTAATAATTACAATTTGAAAATAAAACCTTGATAAGAAGTATATGTTATTGGTGTTTCCTGTGATGCATATCACATTACCTATTTACTGCGAACTGTAATATCTATTCAAATTAATTATACTACATGGAGCAGGTATATAAAAACATAATCATAAAAAAATATTTGATAAATATTATAAACATTAAATATACATATCAAAAGTTCCTATTTATTGAACATAATTTAATAATTATACATAATCCCTCAACATTTTTTGAAAAACCTGAAACTTTATTGATAACTTTGTTTATTAAGTTGTATTACGTTATTATTTTTGGACGACAGATTGCATCACCAGTAAGTCATACATGCCAAATGCAGGTATGTATGTATTTCTGGGGCCCATTTAAAGAGGAGGCTACAATACTAAGTACATCAATAAAAGAAAAATATGCGGTATCAAAATTACTAAAACGTTTTTTTTCAGTATGTGATACATTTTATATTAACATTAGACATTTGACATTGACACCAACTGATAATAGGACTTTTGAAACCTCGAATTTTTGCATATAACACAATTATTATTTTCACCAAAATGATTTTGTTTATATTATTTTAAAACAATTAATATTAATAATATAAAGGCACAATAAAAATAAAATAATGAAAAATATTAAAATGTAATGTTTGATAATATGTAATGATAATTAATTTAATTAATTCAGAATTTGTACTAAATTGTAAAGTTTTACATATATTTTGAGTCTTTCTTAATTTTTTGATTCTACATTTTATTGTATGCCCTTACATAATTTATTATTTATTTTCGCGATGGCAACAATTCTGCATACTACAAGAAAACCTTCATCGTCACTCGCCAGTGTGTCCATTGTCCGGGGTCTAAAAATATCGGGTGTCGAAAGTCTGATCTCAATAAAACTGTTGGGTGTCAAATGTCTCTGGTGTCAAAAGTCTGAATACCATATTATATCAAGCAGTTATGCTGCACGATTCAATAACATTTGTATAAAATGTTTTGATACATCGCTTTCACAAATAAATTGCATCTAATGGTAATTTTTTATTTATCAAACAATAACGTTATATTATATTTGACACTAGTTGTAAATCAAAAGTCAATAACTACGCTACCTACAGGTTTCAATGTTATTTGATTTACGATGAATCATCGATACGAATATTTTTTCTAATATTATTAAAAATAAAATGAAAAATTGATTTGCACAGTACCTCCATTACCCGGTTCTTTTGGTCGTGAATAGCCTTTGAGTTTGCATCGCTTGCTTGTTCCAATACGTCCAACATTCGTTTCTCTTGAACCAATTTTTCAGGTAACTGTCCACTCTTGGCCAACGAAGCCAGCGATCGTTTGTATTCTGGTAACTGTCCGGTTCGGGCCAGAGAAGCTACATTCCTCTTGTTTAAATTGAACGGGAATGTATGCGAGACCTGCCATAACATAACCTCCACATATTATATGATAGACAATATTAGTTTTTTGCTTTCAAAGGCCCCAGATAAATCCTAAACTTGCATTGTGAGCTTCCCAAAACTTTCATTTATCACGAAAACCATATACCAAACCCATGTGTCAACCTTGGGCCAATATTACGTTTCTTTAGGGTCCGTTTTTATTTTTTTTATCACTTGAACGTTATTACAACGTAAAAATGATTACAGAGGGGTTACATTCCTTGACCATAAAAGAGCGGGTCATCTGCTTCCCCAGTCGTGGTCACTTTAAAGTATGTAAGTTGCACATTACATGGTATTACAGTCAAGATTGAGTGTAAATTGTTTAGACGTGTGACGTTCTTTTTTTAACGTATGGAAATATTTTTTAGACTCTTACATCGAATACTACTATTTATAATAACAATGCTGGTGTTGCTATTAAAAATTGCAAAATATAATAATATTACATAATTTATGGTTTAGTATGATATTATGTAATTTGTAAATAATATTATTTTTAAACATTTTATAGAAAACATGAGATCAATTGATTGGCATAGTGAAACGAAGTGCGAACTATGTACCTACATATGTTTGTAAGTATGACAGTGTGAAACGACGAATTTATTATTCAAAGTAAGTTTATAGATACCATTTCTGTATTTTATATAATATGCTACTCGTATGTATATTAGGACTCGACTGATACACATACGTATATAATTTCCATTTATCGTATTTTTGTTCGCCGAAATATGATGGTTAGCTTCTCATTCAAATGGAATTGCTGACGTCGAGTTTCGTATCTTAGATCTATTCATACTCTCTTTTTAAAATAACTTTCACATCAAAAGGCACACTTGTTGTAGATTTTCAATTTAAGAATATTCAAAAAAATTCTTAACATTATCCTTTGGGAATATTTTTCATATTTATTCTAATATTTTAAAAGTTTTAGATTCTAGGAGCATTGAGAAATGTATTGATTTTACAATAATGTCTTCTTTTTATTTGTATATTGTTCGTTGTAGATCCACAGTTTTTTACATGTCATAGATGAGATAAATTTCTTGTTATGAGTTTCCCAATATTAGTAAAAAACTACCCTGTTAAATTATAACATCACATATTATTTTATCATATTTAATTGTATTATTTTGTTGTTGTTATCCATTAAACATAAATTTCTCACTTCGCTATGTCAAATATTTTTTATAAGTTGTCATCTAAATTTGATAACAGGTATTGTGCGAATACAAAAAAAAATTAATTAATTTTTTTTATGTTATAAAATAATACTTGGGTATGTGTTTTACTTTTTTACATCTATTAAAGATTTTTTTCAGTTTGGCGATACATTGTCATACGTATTTACACAATATTATGATCTCGAAGCGTTTTATGTGTAGATGAAATGTATAGTTTCTCAACTAAAGGTAAAAACTTTGTTCGGATTGATATTACAGATTTAATATGGAACAATTGTATTATGTGATATTTGTGTGTTAAAATAAATATTTAATTAAAAAATTGGTGCATAGTTTGTTGAAATTCTAAATTAAACGTAAGGTTATAAAAAATATATTGATTACAGCCTGTTCTATAAATGTGACACGATTTAAATCGGTCCCACAACACCATGAATTAATTGCCCTTTTAATTGATTTTTTCGTACAGATACCCTCATTGAATATCCTATAGGTACAGGCAGAACTATATGAGCTAATTTGTCAGCAATAGAATCTCCTGTCGATTTCATTGAAAACAATTAATGTCTTTATTTTTAATGTTTTTACATTTTCTGATTTATTTTAAAATTGATTATTATAAAAAAAGTTGTATATATGTATATAATATATAATATTGGTGTTTTATATGGATTTGAAATATACCAGAAATTGTCTTTTGTTCGTCCATTTCATAAAATGAGAACGATACGGAGTTGCATAAACTGGCTATAATATTATTATATGCTTTGGTTTGTCCTTTTCTCTTCCATTATAACAAATATTTTTCATAATGAGTAGTACTTGGGGAGATATCTTTATCTGTTTATATATTTCAGATTCTGAGTGCAGCGGTGAATGTATTGATTTTACTATGATGTGTGGTTTTTTTTCTTTGCATCTGAATACACGAGAAGTAGCAGAAAAAAAGCTTGGATTTTCAACGTTGAGTATGGTTTCTGATAGTAAATTGGATCTAGTTGATACTTTTAAGAGGTAAAAATTGAATATTCCCAGTATGTTTCAAAATAATCCGGAAAAAAAACAAAAATTAAATTACCTACCAAAAGGATGAACTGGAATTTTATGCAAAACAATTTTTTGAAGAAATCAGTTTTGTTTTTTGGTGTAACTCTAAAACAAATTACCCTTAGATAATTGAAAATTTTGTGAATTATTTAAATGAGCATTTTCTGTTTATTATGAAAAAAATAAAAAAAACATTATTTTGACGCTTTTTGAGCTATTATTATTGTCTATGAACCTTTGAATATTTGGTTTTTTTTATGATAAATGTCTAACAATACTTAATATAAATTATAAATTTACTATAAAATATCCTTAGTAATATAGACTGACAGATCGTCTTCACTTTGAATCGTTTTTCGTATGCAACGATTTATCATTAAATTAAAATTAAACACATCCATTGCAGTTAATTATTCTAAATTACGAGGTATACTAAATTCCTACGGTACTACAAAGCTGTAACTTATTTTTCCCCTTTTTAATTCTCAATTTATTAATTAGCATTTTATAAAAATAATTAATAAACCTGATACAACAAAATATTAAAGATAAATTTGAATTATTATTAAAATAGGTTTAATATGCAATCAATCGATAAAAACAAGTATTTTTTGTTTTAAAAAAGCTTGATGTACAATTTTATTTGCGCAGTAAATTGTTTTTACATAATTGTCAATAAATAAATAAATTAAATATCATTATCAATACTCATGTCTCGCATATATCTAACTGTTTATTTACATAAATTTAAGTATTACTTGGTATTAAATTGTCACATAAAAGTGTCAAAAATATAATAAACTGTTTTAGCTCTACTGCTTAAGTACTTACTTTTCAATACAACTGTAGAAAATAATCAAAATACTTTTTTTTCAATAAAATTCATCTTCTTGGAGTTTATAAATGACGTCCCATAGTTTTCATTTAAATATACATTTTTTAATTTTTTATTCAACAAACACATTCTACATGCTTTATTCATATTTTTAATATAATTTTTGTTAATAACTTTTAAAAAAAGTGTGTATTTTATCATCCAGAATAAAAACGTTATTATTAGTTTGGGGTTAAACAATTAAATTAATTTCACATTTTACAATACATTAATTTTAATTGCACCAAAATATTTGAACTAGACTCTTTATAATTTCTCTCTCTATTCTTTCTACTCTTCTTTAATTATAATCACTTTTTTTTTTACTTAACGTGTATTACGTGATTTCTAATTGAAATCTTAAATATATTTTTATTTTTTAGATTAGATGATTTATATACCCTATTTAAATCTTGTACATTATTGGTATAGTATAAAGCACATACCTATTTAGTTGTTTGCTTTTTTTATAACAATATTAAAATTATATACCTTCTTTGATTATTGTTTTATCGACCAATCTTATTATTGTAAATTGCAGTACACTAATTAAAGATTATAATCACGTTTAGCATGAAAAAGTGACGTATTGTAATACAATTTATGATGTTTTAATTTGTATATAATATTTTTGACAATATATTTGTTTTTTTATTGTTATAAATATTACTTATGTATAATTACATTTATCTATATACATAAGAATCTAACTTGATTTTGGAGACGAAGGAAACCGGTTTTGAACCCCCATTATAATAATAATAATAATTAACTAATTACCAATTATTTTCATATATTCACCGATAACGATGTTTGTTTCTTTTTTTTTTATTTTTTTTTTTATTTTATAACCGTTGTATTATTTGTATAGACAAAAAATAGTCTTATGTTTTTAAATTAAATTATAAAAAAATAATTTCTTCCGGAGGGAGATCGGGCAGCTAGTAAATTATAAACACAGAGGGAATTTACAAAGCTCACCCCATTTTCTTTCTAAAACGATGTTTATCAAGTATTCTGATTTTTGGGATTTTCTATTAGATACTTATGCTTAATTCGAAATATAAAATAAGTAAATAATTTTTTGAATTATATTTAAGAAATGACTCATGCAGATATGAACTTTTGTTTCACAAACGATACCTACATTTCTACTATACATTTTAAGTAGATATAATTTTTGATTTTAATGAATGATGATTGCGGAGAATGTATTTAAAAATATTGAAGTACCGAAATCGAAATTCCAACGATTATGTTCTGGTCTAATATACTTTTGATTATTCAAATATATTATAATAACTATTAATTTATTAATAGGTAAGTAATAATTGAAATGTTCGAGTCATAAAGAATCGCCTAAAAGTTAAGAATGGAGAAACTTTGAATTCGAAAACTAAATTAATTATTTACCTCAAAAAAGGAAAAGTAAGTTCGACGGTAAGAGTTTAGGACTAGGGTTAAGCGTCGGCAAATAAGTAACCGACTGACACATGCAGTTACAGACATAAATTATTTCGAGAATTGGAAAAGGAGAGAAAATATATGGGGTACGCTATACCTCTATAGTTATTGAATTATATTTATAAATGATGTTACTTCGGGTTTTGGCCGAAACAATATTTTTAATCTTCTGATCAAATACTAATAGAAATATTATACTTCCAAAGACTGAAGAACCCTTGGTAAATCGAAAAATCTAAAATCGTCAGATACGATTGAAAATCTAATTTTTAAAGTATATAATATTGGAGCCCATTATTTATTTTTTATTTTTTTATCCCTCTAGATTGTGTTCGTACCCGGTCGAATAAACATAATCGATTAAATGACTACTCCACAGCTTGCAACTGAGGCAGTTAGTT